CGCACGCACGCACGCACGCACGCACGCACGCACGCACGCACGCACGCACGCACGCACGCACACACATATATAGCTTAACTATTTATAGCTTAACTATTTATAATCAAAGTATCTCTAATATATATGTACGCACAAATAAGCAGATTTATATTAACGCATAAACCACTTTTAACCACTCACGACTACAAACTGAATCTCACCATGAACTTAAACTCGGAATTCTTCTGTGGAGCTGACTGGCCTGGTTTAATGTTGATGCCGTTGACATGGCCAAAGGTTACAAGATCTCCTTCATGCAATGTGCAATCACCTGTGACCTGTCAACAGAATATAAGTATATAGTTACATATATATGTTAGTATGTATATATATCAGTCACCTCTGTACCACAAATAAAAGTATACACATACGTTCATGTTTGTATGATATATAAATCAAGCCGGCTGCTGGCGAAAACCGCCGTCTACTTTCATGATTTGGCAGGCTACTTTTTTTGAAAAAATAATCAATAAAACTGAAACTGAAAGGGCCCGATTGCCCGATCGGACAAGTGAAAAATTCTAGTTGTTTAAAGGTAGATTCCTTCAAACTTTCAATCGGAAAACATAAAATCCGGCAAAAATGAATTATTTTAACATTGCACGTTTGTACTTGCCTATATATGTGTGATTGGTAAAAAAAATGCTCGGGAATACGTTCATTCGAAGCTTTTACATGTTTTAGACTACAAAGCGAAACGTTTGGGTCGAATGTTTCCCAGCGTTTACTTTTGCCGCTATGCGGGGGTTGTTCCGCTCTGCGCACTGGCCGTGTTATGTATGTATGTATGAACCATGCTATGTAAAATTATACACACTGTCATGTTATGACCCAATGGTTTACCTGATCACGTACATGGATAGCTGATAGGGAAAGGGCAACGTTTATATTGCTGGGAGATTATAGTATTCTGAGCGAGTTAACGAGTTAGTGAGTCGAGAGTCCTGTCAGGTCGCTGTTAGTTCGGATTACGTTTTGTTGGGTTTTTAGCACGGTCTATCTCGAAAACGGTTACGGTAAAAATTCTGAAATTAATAACATAAACAGTCGAGGTGCTTCTCTGACTAGACTACAATGTTTGATTTCATAAAATGATTTATATTAAAAGTTATGACATCTGAAAGTGGCTACATTGACTTGATTGAAATGATGGTTGCTCAAATATAAATAATATGGCGCCTATGGAACCGCGGCGAAAAGCGTTTTTCGAGTTGTTTCTTTGAAGTGCAAATATAGGCTTGATACATATTTTTACAGTTTTATTTTCAAAGCTAACGTTCAGTTAAAGTGTAGTGAGTTATTTACTTGCGTTTTTACAGTGGTTTAATTGTTACAAATATTTACGTGGAAAGTTCGAGGGAAGCTCCCTTTAATATTCCTAACATCCTGAGCTAGGGCGCTATCTCGACAGTGTGCAGCAACAGCCAGCACAGCGTGACTGTGTATACGTGCTGGCTAGGGCAGCACTGATTAATGTACGGGGGGGGGGGATTGTTTAAAGACGCGTGGGGCATGCTTAGGATTTCCCATGTATATACTGTAACACTGGGAGTGTATAATATTGATATATATCTCTATATATAATATATAGATCTATCTATATATCAGGGTTCTACAAGAGCACTTATAGCCTGGCGGCCAGCCAGGCTATCGTTGAGCCCCGTCATCCTAAAATGCACCCGCCACTCTAAATATCATAGCCGCCATGCTAAATATCATAGCCCCCGGACCCCCCTAGCACGCAAACCGCCTTCGGCGATTTGCAACTAGGGCCGTAAAGGCAGCACCGCCATGCTATAATGAAAAAGCTTGGAGAACCCTGTATATATATATATATTTAGTTATTTATATATCTAAATATCTATTTATATAATATAGATCTCTATGTTATACACTCCTCATAATATGATATGCACTGAACCAAAAATAAACGTTAACGGCTCATGGATTGCAAGTAAATTTTGGACAAGTAAAATCAAAATTCTGACAAGTAAAAAGTCAGACAGGACAACCAGATCTTAAAATAAGCGTCGACGCCTGAGTTAGCTATTCAGTTGGCAGATAGATTAACTTATTAACCAAATTATGTTGCCTTAGCATTGTACTTACACAAATACAGTGACAGAGACTGAGCAGTTCAACCCTCAGCAATTTGATGTTTATGCTTCTCTTTTTTTAAAGTATTTTAGTCTTTGGTGTCCCCAAAGATAAAAATACTCAACTCAAGAAAAGTGATATTTTTGTGATGAAGATTGTTTAATAATGCTGACTCAGAGTGCAGGAAAATGCATCTAAGAGGTTTAATTTTGAAAAAAAATTCCGGTGGAGGACCCCAGGAAACCACTAATCTGGACGAGGGGGGCCACCCCTCCCGAACCAACTCCCCTAGCAGCTGCACTGCTCGGCTGCTACCTGCTGCAGCACACAGCCGCCTACCTTGGTAGTTTATAGCCTGCTACTTTATAAATCGGTGACAAGCCTGTATGTATATATATGTAATAACATGAACACACCAATACAATATATTAGCCAACTAAAGGTGCTTGTCAAAATTGTTAAACGGCCCATTGTTAAATTAACAACTGGCATAGCAGCCTTTTATAAATACTGTGAAGAGATGTTCATATTATTATGCAAAATTTATATGTATAGTGTAACAATTTCATCTATACATATGATTAGAGATCCTGATATTGGCATTGCTCATTCAGCACACACCACACTTTTGGATTGTCATCAATTACCCTGATATCATTCACGTAGGTTCCATTAAGACTAGAATCCAGTATTTTACACGCTGGTGCAGCATCTTCCACGTCCAGTTGATGAATGACAGCATGCTGTCGTGATATCAGCTGCGCATATTTTGCGGAATCAAGATAGAAATCCACAGCAGCCTTCTTGCGGCCCAGCACCACTGACTTCTTGTTGAGGCTATAAAAAGTAAACAAGTATTTTAGTCTGTATGTTGTTTCTGCAGAATAGCACAATGTTATACAGCGCATGACACTCCATGTGAACATGCAGCCATAAAATATAGTACTTGACGGTTGACCTAGTAATTGTGTAAGCAGTGTGTGTTTGTGACAGCAAATTTATTTGAAAAATCATCCAACATACTTACACTATTGAGTATTGTATTGACTTTTACTTTTACTTAGTAGCAGCTATTAATATTAATATAAGTAGGATCATTAAGCTGCATAATTCATTTTTAATTGATGGCGCATCTTTACTCTTTAGTGCATTGTGATTGTGCATGTACTGAGAAGCTAATCTGTGCTAATTATGTGATGTTGGTACTGTGCATTTTCCCACTGGTTTCTGCTTCTACTAATCAAAATAATACACAGAATTCAGCAGTACTTAAATAATGAGTGTATGGTTATTATACTCCCAGTATACATTAATTAACTTCTAGCGCCACCTACATGTGGCTATATAAATTTTCACATAATAAACCTTTTTAACAATGGTAGTGGTACCTTATCACATCCTTTACTGATGGAATAGTTGCAGGTAGGCCAACTCGGCGCAACTGGAACATCACACTCTCCTGCTGCTCTGCGACCATACCAATAATCAAAATTCAAACTTAAATATTGTGCCACAATTACTTAAATTACTTCAACCATCAAGATTTGCAAATAATGGGCGCAGCCATGTTTTTGCGCGAAAATTCCCGAACCATGAACTCCTGACCCCGAGTCACACCCACAATCCACTACGAGCGCTGCACAAGAGACCATGAAAAGTCCATTATAAATAAAAAATAAACTATTAGTAGGGCCTATTAGTATTAAAATAATACTATATACATATTCATTGACTTTCTTGAGAGTTTCGAGCTCTTCGAACGTTGAAATTATCTATGATCAAGCAGAGGAATTAATTATTTGTTCATGATGAATCAACTCCAGATTTTCCCATGGTAACAATATTATTATCATTTGAATATGGAGGACGAAGCTGAAAGGAAAGAAGGAACTGTAAATATGCCCAAAGCTTTTCCCACCTATGGTGCTATGGATGTTGATCACAAACGATGTAGATACCCCTATTGTATAGTATGGACTCCAATTCCAGTCTTGACGTAAGTGTTAGTCCTCTAATAGTCGTCTAGTCACACAGACTCACTGTCACTCAGACACAGGGACAATGACAATGTAAACACAAATTGCATTTAGTGATTTACTACTAAAAAGTCGTTAATCATGTTTGTATTACTTTCTATGATCGTATAATTTCGCGTAAATTACCAAATGCTGCCAGTAATAAAATAAAAATCTGCATATCTTGTTGCCATCGTAGACTTCCATTTCTTGAAATCTGAATGTTGCCTCGCAGTTTTTTTCCTGCATGTAAACAAGAAATTAGCTTTTACTTAAAGGGATACTAGAGCAGATATTGTCTATTAGTATTAGTATTAGTATTAATATTATAATTTATGACCGCGTTCACACGGTAATGGTTTGGCTCGAGCTAAATGGGCTAAATTTGGCTCAGGCTAAATTTGTTTCAGGTTGGTTTGAGTCAGAGCGTTCACACGTACACAAGTGAATACTGTCTGTCAAATTCCTATTCCAATTGTGCAATATCTCACAGATACTATAGCCTTGGCAGTGTGTCGCGAGATGGCGTTGTGTACGATTCAGTGTTTACTACCGTTCCGAGTTCAATTATCAATCTTGAAAACATGCATCCTGTTCAAATTTTTCGAATTAAATACTGTTTTGGACTTTATTTTGTCGAAGTACACGTTCGACACTCGCGGCATCCACTGGCAGCAAGAACAAGTCGGCACCTGCAGCTACAGCACACACGCGGCCATTGACTATATATATATACAACATGGTGCCTAACTCGCCGCTGCACGGACCACAACTCACCGTTTTCTATCCGTTACAATCCGGTGATTCCTTGCAGTGACCCACTTTCCAACTTATCGTCTGGAATCGCGGAATTGACTGCTGAACAAGCTACACCCGCCATTTTGACAATCGGTCCGCAGAATGCGCTCAAACACAGAAATTCTCAAATATCCATGCGAAATGATCCTTTGAATGCTACCTATGAAGAAGGCAGTCTCCGCGATTCAAACGATAGTTGGAAAGTGGTGTCACCTGCAGGAACACCGGAGTTGTAACTGATTGAAACGGCGAGTTGTGGTCCGCTGCACGGCGAGTTAGGCACCATGTTGTATATATATAGTGAATGGCCGCTCGTGTGTGCTTGTAGCTGCAGGTGCCGACTTGTTCTTGCCTGCCAGTGGCGGCATCTACCTCTCTACCGATTTAGCTGGTAAAATTTGGCTCGGGCCTGTCAGACGTTTTCGATAGCGACCAAATTAACTCGTTCTAACGCGGAACGGCGCCCGAAAAACCCGTGCGTTTGTGAACGCTCGGCTCGAGCCAAATTTGCGCGGGCCTAATTAGGCTCGGGCTAAAAACGGTCTGTACTGTGAACGCGCCTTATGTCTCCCTGACCTCTGTTTGACCTGGCTCGTTTAGCTATTTCTGACTAACCCTACCCCGGGTAACTATCTGATATGGTTAGGGTTAGGGTTAGTCAGAAATAGCTAAACGAGCCAGGTCAAACAGGGTCAGGGAGACATAGACCCTACGGGCAATACTAGACTCTAGGATTTTACTGCATACAACTGTACTTACTGTATAACAAATTGTCTATACCCACACCGCACGTACTTATTACCAGATCCTAATTTAATTGTTATATAATGAAATATACATCAACGCTACAAAATTTGAACGGCGCCATTGATACCCGCGACCGTGCTGCCACCATGAAAACGTTGCGCATTCTCAATATATTTTGCACGGTACAGACCGAGGGCTAATCACAAAGGTGCAATTATATTTATACCTAAATGCTATTTAACCGAACGATGTTCATTTTAAGACAAAATTTATCCATAATATAACTGAAACTATATGTCGTTTATAAGATATTACAATCCTTTTGCTTTTAAATTAATAAATAAGAAACACCGTCGGTCTGTAGCCCTTAGCTGAAAAGTCGTTTTGCGCAACTTTTCTGATCGTGTGCTTTGAGTGGCGCCACCGTCGCTGTAATCAAACTGTAGTCGTTAGTTTTTAAAACATAAAAAAAAAATGTCTAATGGTGATTGAACATGAAACTTTTTTATGTAGCGTAATTTTAACCTAAATTAACTTAAAATAACCCTAGAACCTAGAGTAAAGAATCCCTTTAACTGTTTACAGTCTGACCTCCTTTATCCGGCCATCCGTTATCCGGAAATCTCTATTAACCGGCCGCGATCTGGCAGTGGATGTTCTGTGTTTTTAGCTCATCTGACGTAGTCAGATGCAGCTTGTGGAATCGCATGATCGTCCGTCCGTGCGTCCGTCAACAGTGTGGCACAAATCTTAACCGCCTCGACGTACGGTCACGATATTTCGGAGCGTGGGGGGGTAATCGAAAACGAGTTGGGATGCCGAAGCTGGGGTTAAAGTCAAAGGTCAAGAGGTGTAAAAGAAGGGGAACATTCCCTCCTTTACATAAGGTATAGGGAGAAATGCAGAATTGCGCACAAATCTAAACGGCTTGACCTAGGCTCGTGATAGTTCGGTGTATAGCATCATGGTAGGAAAAGCCATCACTGCCGTCCGAATTTGAGGTCACAGGTCAAAGCGTCAATGGGGCACAGGGCAGATTTTAGACATTTTCTGAGCGAACATGGGTCTGACGGAGCGATTTGAAAAACTTTTTGCTTCAGCAGTGACCTAGCATTTTTATGGCTTTATTGAAAGGATCATGAAATGTACTTTCTGCTGACATTGCAAAGAGTAAGTGTCGATAACCTTTTGACCCTCAAGAGAAGGGTTAAACATGGATTTGTTTAGCTGTTAGAAAGAATTTGACTGCCGGGTTTGCTAGTAGAGAATCTATACATGCCTGGACAGTCTGCAGCCGGATATCCGCGCGAAGCGCGAACAGCGCCGCCTCGCGGCCGCCTTTTGATCGAATTCGCTGCCTCTATTTAGAAACATACCCGAGGCCCTCTGGGTACTACAGAAAGCCGCGATAATCGGTCAATTTGAGCGGAGTTGTGGCGATTGCAGAAGCCTTTCGACTTTGCACGTAGGGCGAGAAATAAATCCAAATGCTCGTTTTTGTTGGTGTGTGCTCGGCGCGGTCCTTTTCGTGTAGAAAATAATTTTCCCTTTTTCGCTGTGTTCATGCCCTGACATAATTTGGAAGTTATCGCGACCCATAGATGGCGCAACGAGTCCATCTACGCTACATTTTCAAGGTTTTAAAAAAAAAACGCTCGGCTCGATGACCTAGACTGGCCCGCGCGGCTGCACAGTTTCGACACGCTAGCGTCTAACTCACTCAGTGTAGCCAACGATAGTTGGCTGAGTGAAGGTCGGTAGCCGTTACTAGCCCTTCAATCGTCATTACCGCTCCGACTTCCCGTATCCATCTTAACGCACCAATGTGATGTTCAGATGTTGCCATTATGATTATCACGATGTTATCTGGATTCTGGAAAAGCTCCGCCTTCGTGGCGTCAGCGGCTGGCGTGGCGTCCGTGGCGCAGAATTTGCGTCAGTCTCTGTGTGATTTCGCGTGACACAGTTCTCTTACGAACAGAGACATTATGTTTCATAAGAAGTCAAGTTAGTCAACACTGTTTCTTCAAATAGAAACAAAGATCGAAGCTGTTGGATGAGTATTTGTTTTGAAATCGTTTGGAGGAGCGTACGTACAGCATTTTTGCATATAATAATTACATCGTCCCAGCGTGGCTGCTTATAGCAAAAACCTTCGTCTACCCTGCGGTCGAGGGGGGGGGCCCTGATTGCTCTTGTGCAAGAAAAACTTCGCAGAAAAACTTGGAACTCGCCCTGCTCGCACTTACCTTGACGGTGCAACCCTATATATACCAGCTGCCAGCTCCATCCATAGCCTCCCTACACACACAACGTCAATACACCGTAGTATTCTAACCCTAGCAATACCGTTTCTTGGAGCTAGTCGAATCTATGATCTTGCAGTGCAGCCTTGATCTTGCAGTGCAGACTCTGCAGTCATACACTGATATGTACAGTCTTGTCGGGCTATTTACATTACTATCAATATCATAGTGACGGGAAGTTGTACTTGGCAAGTAGTTGTAGTGTACGGCACTTGCTGTATACTGGATCCATAGACTGATATAGGCTAAGGCTGCTAACTAGTAAGTGTACTGGGACCGTAAATTAACCCACTATTACAAACTAATTCATAAGGGCTTCATGTAATACAGAAATGAATAAACCCTGAGGCTGAGTGTTCCAATTCTATTTATATACAGGTATTTTTTACTGCCTATAGCCTAGAGTTCCTAACATATAATACGATGTTATTGCGATGTATGTGTTTGTGCGCGTTTTATGCATGGTATTGCTACGTGTTCTCGGCTTAGCTTAGTCACTCGATGGTAATCGAGGTGGAGTGGTCCCCAGTCTATATAGCCTTTGTCCTTGCAGCCATTTCATTACTGGGCCAAGTGTTCGCGAACGCGAGAATTTCGTCAGTCTTTCTGTGATTTTGGCGTCCACAGCTCGGTTACGAAGAGAGAGAAATTATGTTTTTTATAACAAGTCAACACTGGTTCACGTCCAAATGTCTACCCTTGTGTCCCCGACTAAAATTGCGGACTTGTTCGCTGGCAGCTATGGATCCGCTGCGCCGGCCAATTCATTCGCGCGCACGGATCCATAGCTGCGAGCGCTGCATACTGTCGTAGGACGTTCCGCGGTCGTGCGTGCCGCCTTGCGCGGAATTGCGCGCAAGATCTGCGCTTATAGCGCTTGGGATCAACACTTCCTTTCGGCAACGCTCTCTAGTATCCGTCTCATCTGGATGTATGAGGCAACAATGTCACAGTGAAATTTCAAAAGCTAAATTTGGGTTGAAGAAGGTTTATGCTCCTTAAATCGTATAATTTCTCATAGCATTCTGTACTGTCAGTGTACGTGTAACTGTTACATGTAACTTATGCTACTGCCAGGGCCACTGCCAGTGCATGTAGTGGTGATAGTACTGTGTAGTTTTTGCCGCCGTTAATTAGTTACAGTGGCAGCTCTCTATTTCAACCTGTAGGCTTGCGTAGGGAATATGGATGAGTGCTTACCTATTCTATCTTGCAAATAGTTGTTGCCTACTACGTACGATGGAGCTTCCATCTTTAATCTTAGACACTTAAAACGTACGCGCCATCTCGTGGCAACTTTCCATAAACGATCCCAACGAACATTCCTTTGAGAAGTTCCTGATACCATCCTGTGCCTTCCACTGTTTCGGCGCATATTGTGAACACATTTGGCGACTAACAGGGTTTACTAGAATCCCACCACTCCACCACAGAGTCACCGCAGTAGACGTTAGATGAGCGCTGTCGCTCCGCGGCACTTGTTCATTCATTTCCACCTAAAAATCTTGCTCAAAACTTGCGCGATGTACCAACCGTACGTGTGTTTGCGTGTGTGCGCGCGTGCGTGCGTGCGTGTTGTCCGCTCGTGTCCACTATGCCTCCGGTAAAATTTCTGTTTTATTTCATTTTATTTCTATTTCATATAAACCATAAAACATGACAGTTTGTTACAAATAATCATAGCAACAAGTAAATACATTATCACATGCATAAACCCTACTGAACTGCATAGAAATGCTGTGTTTGACCATAACTCTCATATCCGGATGGGTGCCGGTCCCGACGTGGCCGGATAAAGGAGGTCGGACTGTAATCTGCAAACTCTAATCCAGTAAACAGCCATGTTTACACAGCGCATGGTACACAATCGGAATGCGGAATACTCGAAATAGAAAAAGTCTTCTATTATTCCGTCAACTATTCCTTCAATTATTCCGTCAAAAGTATACCTCAAGTATGCGTCAATAAAAAGAAGTGTGTAAATAGTCGCACAGTGGGCTGGAGGCTTTTAAAAAAAAATAAGGCTTAAATTAATTTAATAAATTACATTTTATTTTAGGTGGATTCTGCCAATTATTGGGCACATGGGCATTGCCATGTCATCAGGTGTCATCAGAGATTTTGCAGGACCTTACTTTGTTTCAGTGAGTTTTATTAAAAAATAATATATATTATACAATAATATCATTGAGATGTTTGTTTGGGTAGTCCTGTGTTGATACACGTTCAGTTAAATTTTTTTAATGAAAATTGTTTGTTGTTTTAGGAGGACTGCATGGCATTTGGGAATCCAACTAAGTAAGTTTAGTCTTGGTAAAAATATAAGTACGTGCCATATACTCTTAGGTCGATACTTGCAAGCAACACAGTGGAAACTCATGAATAAATCAATTGGATGTGTTCCAACATTATATTAACTTGATTGACTCACCTTTACAGGTTTTTGCTATTTTTACAAGAGTTATTTATCTGATTGTAAAATTAACTGTCATATGGTATGGTTTAATCCAATAAGGTATTGGCGGTTGTCACTAGAAAAGGTACCAGGAGGACAGGCGATGTATGATGCGGCAGTTTCTGATGCCTCTGTGGAATATAAAGGTCACATGGTATGTATGGCATCGCCACGCCATCAGTTGATGAGGATATTTTATGAGGTGGAAATTTCAGTTTAATGGAAAAGTCAAGTCACTCTAGAAATATTTCATGTGCCTGAGCCTGAAAATCATGTACATTTTGTACGTATTGCAGTGACAGCAGACATGGCCATTCGCATTGTTTCACTCATTATATGACTGTATGAGGAGAATAAACTATTGGTAATGTGGTAAATGATGCTGGGATCAATGACGTATAATAATAGTAATTAAAAGTTGCATGAAATTTATTTCATAACATTTACATTAACACTGTCAAGTCACAGATGAGGAAAAATTGAAAATTAACAAATTAAAAAAAAAAAATTTCAAAATTAATTTAGAGGTTGGACACCGGACAACCATGGAAGCAATTTGTAGTTGCCCGAGAGAAAATCAGTCGTCACGGACGACCGGACGACTGTCAAAATTGAGCCCTGCATAGGGTCTATGTCCCCCAGGGTACTGCCGGAACGTACCATGGGTACGGTCCGGTATACCGGAATGTACTCTGGTTAATATCTGATATGGTTAGGGTTAGGGAGTAGGCGTAGGCGACTCCCTAGACTCGTTAGTGGAGTAGGCGAAGTACGGTCCAGCATATTAGATAGTACCAGGGTACGTTCCGGCAGTACCTTGGGGGACATAGACCCTCTCAGCTATACTGTAATTAAAAACAAGCCAGGCAAAGATGATGGTGGCAAGCCGATAACTGTCGAGTATAACCTGTGATTTTTCGTTGCAGCATAATCTGTGTTGCGATAACTGTCACTCGCACGTTGCACTTGCGCTGGATCTCATGAAGTACAACAAGAGCATGTCGTGGAACATGGTGAAGCTCTGTTTCCTCATGCTTGTCCATGGGAAATATGTCAGGTAAGTAGGTATAGCGTACATGCATTCTTGAACCTCGCTCCCGGCAAATATTTCATGAATAACAATGATAATAAGTTGAAGCTAAATTAATGATTAACTTGTATTTATATATATATATATGTTACTAACAATTATTTCATTACTTGCATGTATTAATTATTAAGATCTAATTGCTGTGATAAATTCAGGGGAACAATTCTGGAATGCTAGTTATTTGTCTATAGACTTATATGTTTCGTATGCTTCAATTTCATTGCAGTTTCATCGGCTTTTTAAAGACATGGTTACCTTTTCTCATCATGCTTGGAATTGTCATCACTATGGTCTCAGTCTTATAGACATTCTCAATGTTTGTAAATAAGTTTTATGATTTTTACTAAAAAAATAGATTTACAATGTTACATCATATATTTTTCACAATATTCCACTGGTGCACTAAGCTTACAACTGGAGTGTGTTGTGTGGCCCTGTATATAATGCTACCTCTATGAAGCCTAAAATTAAGAAAAAGATATGAAAACTACATATTTTAAATAAAACCTCCAAATTTCATACCAATGATACATCCAGCGAGAGAATTACCATTTAATTCATAACCCATTGATACCAATCTTTGGCTATGGTGTACATTGTTATCAAACAGCAGATCACGCTAGGTTTTGTCATACACATAAACAACAGCAACATTGCTGCTAAATAAATGGGCATGTATAAGGACGATTGCATCTTAATGTATCTTCACCTAAGCCTAGTAGTAGAATGGCAAGAATTGAAATTCTCTTGTTGAAAGTGTCACTGCTGCTTCTTATTACATTGCGAGAACTTGACACAAAGTGTCGCTCGTAGGGTCTATGTCCCCCCGGGTACTGCCGGAACGTACCCTGGGTACGGTCCGGTGTACCGGAACGTACCCTGGTAACTATCTGATATGGTTAGGGTTAGGGAGTAGGCGTAGGCGACCCCCTAGACTCGTTAGTGGAGTAGGCGAGGTACAGTCCGGCATATTAGATAGTACCAGGGTACGGTCCGGTATATGTTCCAGCAGTACCCTGTGGGACATAGACCCTCTCAGCCAAAGTGTCGATGGGGTTGGTCACATGCGAGAGCTAATTTAAAGATGAATACTTTATCTTTTACTTACTGCTTCCTAACAAGATCACGGTTAAGTGCCGAAATCCTCGTTGCATGCAGGAGATGTAGTTCAGGTGGCACTGCATACTTGAAAACAGGGAAGGGTATAGTCTATCTGTAATGCTTTTTGATCCTGAGGAGGCTATCGCGTGATCAACTTATGACATTTCATTCAGCATAACCACCGAATAACTTATCACTGTAAGGAAATCATTGAATTTTAAGTAATTATGCCTTGAATTTTTGTAATAATTGTTGCACTTACTGGTGCTGAAGGGGTCGTTGTCGTATATGTAGTACCCGAGGTGTTGGCGAGTATGTCCCTAACCCTAACCCTAACCATATCAGATAGTTACCTCTGGTACATATTTGTACTACCCTATACGACAACGACCCTTCGTGCCTTACTGGTAGGCAGTAACGTGTCTCCAGTAACTGCGTAAAACAAGTCTTACATTTCCGTAGTTGTATTTATGCTTAAAAAATTGTCAGCACACTACAGGGGTAGAAATGAACTTTTAGACAAACGAGTCCAACGGACTCCCTACTCTCAAAAAGAGGGAGTCCACAGCAAAATGAGGGAGTCCGCAGTCTAAAGTTAAAAACTAAAGATATTAACAAAAAGGACATTTGCGGTGCACATCTGCCAAATTTTCTTGGGATATTTGCTATAAAAAAAATACGATAATTCCGCGAGGCCGTGCTCTGGAACGAACTAGTTAGTATAGCAGAATTTTCAGGGAGTCACACGGACTCCTGGATATGTCAAATCAGGGAGTCCGACAGTAAATCGGGGAGTATGTGACTACGGACTCGCGTTAATTTCGCACCCTGACACTATGAGTATGAATTTGATTCGTCCCCACCCCCACCCAAATTGATTGTTTGAGAGATAATTATATCACGTGTTATTATATAAATTATAATGAGTGACTTGTGGTTTTCTAATCACATTTTTAAGTGCGCTTATTATTTGTTGTTGTTGAATGGCATTTCTTTTTGATGAATTATGAGTAAATTCCATTCCTAGTTGTTTCTAATATTAGGCCTATAGTCTAATACATATTGCCTTATTGTGTTGCTTTTTTTTAAAACGTATCCAACTGTACTGCGATTGATGCAATCGCTCCAATATTGCAGTTGCGTGTGTAATTTTTCACGTTTTCACAGATTGTTATCCTATTTTCACATTAATTTCACATATATTACATAGGCCGACAAGGAATGGCGACACTATTTTACAATTTACTTCTATATATATATATATCAGGAGCTAATAATGAAAAATTTGTCATTATTAGCTCCTGATATATATCTATCTATATATATTATAATAATTAATGTATTAAATAATTATGATACAAGTGATTGACCAGATATGTAGATTAGATAGAGGTCACCAAAGTGTAGTTATCGGATCAGGAAATATTCTTAACGTTCCACAAGTTTCCAGTTCCGCGTGTGAGTTTTACCGGTTATACATGTACTGAATAATGATGTTTTCCGTGAAATAAAGAACTGTTTGACCTTTCAAAATTGTTTATGTTAGCTGGTTGTGACCGTGGCGTGTACACATTTCTTAGCAGGTTTCGTGTTAGCATATAATAGCAGGTTTCGTGTTAGCATATAATAGCAGGTTTCGTGTTAGCATATAATAGCAGGTTCAGGTAGCATATAATTATATCACACATATGCACATCAGTCAGTGTATCCTATACTTGTGAACCGTAAGGAATTGGGCAAAAATGGGAACGCATTGTGATTAGGTGGACAGGTATGTGAGACGTTGCCCTGCAGGTAGGAAAAGTTGCGCAGGCTTGGTGAATGGCCTTATACAACCACGGATACGTACAAACAGACACTGACCTAACTCTACTACCAGTGTAGCCCCTTCGCTCCACACTGTAACGGGAACGAATGGCTACACTAACAGAGCTAGCACTGACCAACATCTACTAACGCTGAGAGGGTCTATGTCCCCCAGGCCCGTAGCCAGGGGGGGTTCGGGGGGTAACCCCCCCTCCCCCCCCACCCCGAAGCAAAAAAATAATAATTGAACATTTGCAAGAATTTCACCTCCATTTTAGTGTAATAATTGCAAAATCTCCATCGTGCGGGAGGTTGAACAGTGAACACCCCCTCCGACACCCTCCCCCCGCTCGGTCGCTTGGCTTCCTCGCCTGGTCGTTTCGCGCCCGAGCAGGGTCGTGTACAGGGGGGGTCCAGGGAGTCCGGACCCCCCCTTGCTCGTGCAGAAAACGCATCTGAGGGGGTCTAATTTTAAAAATTTTCTGGGGGAGGGCCACCCAGACCTCCCCTTCGCGTGCTCGCAACTTTGGGTTACGGTTAGACCCACCCCTGGTACAAATCCTGTACACGCCCCTGCCGAGCAAATTGCCAACATTGAAAAACGAACCCCCCCCCCAATATAAAGCTGGCTACGGGCCTGTATTATTATTATAATTATAGTTTTAATAAAGACACGACATGTCCGGGCGTTGCTCTCGGCTAAGCTGATCACAGCGCCGATGATAACCACGTTTACGGTTCAAGAACCAGCACAACTGGTTGCGCTGGTGTTTATGCGATTGACTGGTCATGCCCGCATCAATACTTGACAGTCAGTCCGACCGGTCTCAGTCACTCTGAAAGTGCTGGTTGTTGTTGGACGGACGCACACGCCGAGTGCCAGAATGCGCAATAATTGCAAGCTGTTGAACTTTGTCATTGTGACGGGACTTGTTGCCTTTAGTGTGTTCACGGTGCTCAACACAGAGTACTGGCTTATATTTAACAAGTTTGCACACACGGGAACAGGTAAGAAAACTTGTGGTCAACTATATTCACGCATAAAAAATCAGAAAAGATTTTTTTTTTATTATAAAGTTACTATATAAGAACTAATTAATTGCGATGTTACTGTGTTGTGAATGCTTACAGGACGTGGTGACGTCTTGATGGTCAATGCTTCTACAGAAAACAGCAATGAACCTACAAAAGCACACCGGAAAGTGATCATAATCGTATCAAGATATAGATCCGGTGAGCAATCTCTTTAGATTTCTCCTAATACTAGTTCAATAGCTCATGCTTATACCATACGAACAAATGCAAGCAGAGGAGGCTTGGCCACAATCAATCATATTTATGCAAGCTTCCTATCAAATTCTGTTTTGCACATCTTTAGAACGTCTCATAATATTGGTGAATGTTTTAATGTGAGCCAACTTAACCTTGCATGCTGCAATATCTCGATACATTCCCCTTCCTCCACAGGCTCCTCGTTCACTGGCGAGATATTCAACAGCGACCCGCGAATCTTCTACATCTACGAGCCTCTGCACGGCCTCTTCGACCACAAGAACATCTCTCGGCAGACGAGGCGGTTCGGCCGGGTGGGCGGTACGCCTCTCAAGCTTGACGTGCTGCGCGCCCTCGCACGATGCAACGGCAGCCGCTACTACGCACCGCGAACCGACCTCCTGACGGCCTCCCGCGCGGTTCGCGACGCCATGATGCACGACGATGACAAGCGCCCCCTGTCGCGACGCATCGTCGAGCATGCAGACCCGGACTTCCTCACCCGTCTGTGCCGGCGTCACGAACACGTCGCCATCAAGACGATCCGCGTTAGGGTCGCCGAGATCGCCGACCTCGTCGCGACCTTCAGCGACGACGTCGACCTGAAGGTCATCCACTTGGTGCGCGACCCTCGCGGCATGATCGCGTCGTGGATGGGCGGGCGCGGCGTGACGTCCATGCGCGATTCCTCGTGGCTGTGCCGCGGCATGCTGGCGGACGTGCGCGCGGGGGAGACGCTGGCACGCTCGTCGCCGCACGCGTACATGCGGCTACGCTACGAGGACCTCGCCGCGCGACCGCTCGCCACCGCACGACGCATGTACACGTTCGTCGGCATGGCGATGAGCGACGCGACGATGCGGTGGATCCGCGACAACACAAACAACGAGACGTCGGTGTTGTTCGCGGCCAAGGAGCGCCGCAATGGACAGTTCAGGAGGAACTCGACGGCTACATCGCTTGCGTGGCGCACCCGCATGCGCCCCCCGCTCATACACGTCATCGAAAACAACTGCCACGAACTCCTAAAGCTCGTCGGATTTCAGCTAACGAGCTCGCACGCAACGTCAACGAACATCACGCAGGGGTACTAATGGGGAATGTATACTGATTGAGGAAAATCTATGTGGTCCACAGACGCGCTCAGATCTTTATCGAAGATAGTGTATTCTTGTGTCTTCGAGAATATAGAAAACGGTAATTTATAAAAACTGTACAATGCAGTATATATGTTGAATAATAAAACTGGTTTATATTGTTGCATTATCATAACCAGAAATGTCATACCAAACTGGTGTATTCAACTACATTCCACCCCCGTAAAATTGTACTGCAGACTGTAGCTGAACAGTTATTTATAGTTTGTCAGAAAATTTGCATTGAGCAAGACATTGGCGCAAAAATTAATTCAATACATTAATTCTCTTCCCTCTTACTTCTTCTTACGCCAACCAACAGTCACAGCTTTCAAGCTAGCATCACTGCCGGCTGTATTCAGATGACAGACTTGCGTCTCAGTGTCATACCTTTCCTCTGAGGCCTTGCTGCTTTCAGGGAGGTCCTAGGTGTTTTCGTCTTGCCGCCCTCATTGTGTTGTGGCGTCGATGTTGGCTTCTCAAAGCTTGTTGACTTTGCGGCACGCGCTTTGACTGCTCTTGGCGTTTCTGTGGCACTTTCTGCAACCGCAGCGACGGAAGTCTGGGCAGAGCTCCTCGTCACCCTGGGACTAAACTTGGTGATTTTCTTGGTAGACGGCGCCTGTGGCTGCTTCCGGTCACCTTCTGCAGACGCGGAAGATTTGCGATGCTTCTTTGTTTCCTCAGTCGCTGGGCATGTGGGAGAACTGTTCTTTTTATCTTCCTTGCGCTTAGGCATTTGGAGTTCCGACCCCTCTGCTTTCACTAATGTCTTTGCTTCTGGCGTTCCCCCGATTTTCGGGGACAACTTCCTTTCCCTTTCCGCTGGAGATTTTTGTGTATGCGCGCTGTCGTTTCCTGTTCCCTTATGTTTAGGCGTTTTGACTCCCTCATTTTCCCCTGTCGGCAATACCTTCTCAACTAGTATACCACTCGGTTTTGCTGTCATGTTACCGGCCCCTCTAGCTGGAGTCATTTGCTTCTTCTTCTTGCCAGAATGCTCTACCATGACATCCACAGCTTCATCAGACTTCTCATGCTTCTCTGTTTTGTCACTTTCTCGGTGCACAGTGTCATCTTCAGCTTCTTGATTCTTAAGCATGTGGGCATCCTTCTTTCCTGCTGCCACTGGTATCTGCTCTGGAGCAGCTACAGCAGTTTCCAGGTCAACATTTGATTTCTGGCTTTCCTTAACCGGAGTCCTTCTCGTCTTCTTGTCGGAATGTTTCACTGCCACGCTCACAGGCTTAGCTACCTTTTGGCTCTTTGTCATTGCATGGTCATTAGTGTCTTCTTCCTCCGATTTTCTCTTCACTGGCAACTTCTGCGTCAGCTTCTCCTCAGACGGGCTTCTCTCCTGCGGCTGTCGTAACTTCTCTGTCTTCTTCTGCATCCTCTTTCCTCTCTTTTTCTTTTTTGAATCATCAGCAGCTAAACAACAGCAATGGATTGAGAACGATCAAACAAAAATAATGAATATAGTTATCTATTCAAAGTTATAATAAATATAATGCCAATGATGTTAGTGGTAGTATAGATTATGCTAACAACACAGAAAATTTGGAACTATAAATCACAATTGCCGCCTACGGTACCACAGCATAATAAGTCAGCATTACTACAAGTAATGATGAAGGTCACAAGTTTTCTATTGATTGCTACGACGATAATATAAAAACTTGCATTTAAATCCTTTCGGAGGCAACTTTGCCTTTGTCATAACTTTTACAATTCCATCTTTGCTAACCTGCAGCCAAAAAACACATCAAATTAAATCAAAATATACAATAATTAATTTGAGTGTCGCTTTAATGTTGCCAGGTAAAAAAATATTACAGTGACTATATAAAGCCATAAGCACACAAAACAAATGAAAAACAAACCATTAACAAGTAGTGATGGGTATCGCCAAAATTTTTGTATATTATTACTCATCTTTACCTGTTGCTGCTATCAAGAAAAATAGTGTAAAATGTTCAGAGTCAGACTGAGCTTTAATAGTACTCAACACAACAATTCAAACAAGCAGGTTATCTTATTGTATACGTATGCGTGTGCAGGGCTCTACGTTAACTTTGAAAGTCCAGGGCAAGTTAAACTGAAAATCACTTGCCCTATAGCAATATTCACTTGGCAAGTTGCCCTACTTTTTTGTAGTAAAATGAGGAAAAGATCAATAAAAAATAAATTAACACAGCAATTTTGTTTACTGATTTTATCAAGATAATTCTAACTTCAGTCAAGTCACTGGCCACAAATTCAAAATCATTCAATGAAGTTTAGAAATTTGCAATCTATAAATATTTTTGTTATAATACCTTTATTCATAAATAAGCTTCAATTATATGATCACTGATAATGAATTGAATTTTTACTTTTTGTAAATATAAACAATACTTTTAAATGAATGGTTACTTAATAATAATTCATTTCAAATCCGAATGAATAAATTTACCAAACTGTTACATAACCCGATCATCAACTGACAAGCAACGAATCAGAATTCATATAACGACGTATACTGAATGTACACGAAACTGACACGTGAGTCCAACACGGTGCAGGGGAAATGGTTTACCAGGGTTCGAATTTTGGCTGAAAACCTAGGGCCCGTTGTCAGAAACATCGTAAAGTTAATGCTAATGTTAATGCTAAGATAACACTTAGGCCGACCAAAAAATTACCTTTGGTTCGGGTCACCCGCCCGCACTTCACATTTCGGAGTGAAAAATGTGCGACTGTGGTCACTTTTAGAGGGTTTCAAGAAAAAATAAAATAAAAGATACCGCCTGCCGATCATACATATTCAAATATCCGACTCTTGTCATTTTATTTACCTAAAGAGAGTTCCAAAATATTTTTCCTACAACGTGAAACAGTCGTATAGAGCCTGGGCCGGCTACTTCATAAACAGAGCCTGAAGGTCGTATGGCGCTGCGGCCGGCTTTGATGTACGCGATCGATCGCGTACTATCAAGAGCCCATTAACCACAGAGCGTACAACGCTGAAATAGGAAAACCATGGTGTCGTTTCAGCAAAATTAATAAAGTTTACCTACCTTATTTTGATACTTCTCTACCGGAATATTATGCAGGAGTGCGTGCGTGCGCGCGCGTGTGTAGTGGTGGATTTAGGGGGGGGGGGCTAGCCAACCCCCTCTGTTGGACTACAATATTATTACACATATACCAATTAATTACTGCCAAGTATAATAGTCGCGCGGCTGCACAAAACGGCACCTGATGCATGGGTTAAATTATGTAATTGAGTGGCAAAGCAGGCTACAACCCTTTTGCAGCTTTTTCACAATTCCAAGAGAGTTTTACTGTCGCCCTCAGGCTCATCCCAGCGGTGGTCACCCCCTACATATTCAATGAACGCGACTTAAACAATGCCCCACCCCCCTGTACCTCAATCAATGCCGCGCTGCAACCACAAGTTAAGATCACGTGACTCGCTTGACCTCCTGCTATTGGTCGGTTACATAGAGACGGTGTGGAACTTTACACAGCCACTCCGCAGACGCTGTTCAATCTTCCACACGTGGAAGAAAATATCAAACACGTGTGATATTTTCTACACGCCACAGATCGATGCATTTTACATGCGCACACGCTGTGGAACGCGCTGTGCCACACTTCGGTTACTCGCTCGTTCAAATTATATTCCTATATTTAACTTGTGGAAAAAAAAATTATATTCCTGCCTACCCATGTTTTTGCAGGGAAAAAAAATGTTATACCTACCACCCTACCCTAATTTTCACAATCCATGTGACCCGAACCAAAGGTATTTTTTTGTTTGGCCTTACGACTAATGTTAATGTACGCGAGGAGCGTTGACAGAAAGACATCGCAGCTATTAGAAAACTTACGATAACAGGAACTTCATGAGAATCGATCACAAATTTCAAATTCATACACATTTATTGTACATCACAGTAATTTATGCATATTATGATGGCTAACCACATATAAATAATATTTGATGAAAAACGACGTGGTCATGAATTTATTCTGCACAACAAGACAAATTCTCACACTGTAACGCGAGAGTCGTGGCAAGCGTGGCAAACCTTTAAAACAAGAGAACAAATGTCATACGCCATTTGTAAATGTATTGTTTTGTTTTATTAGCGGTAGGTAATGAATAATTTTGACGTGTTTTTCAAGAAAAACACACATTTTATTCATTATTATAAAATATAATATCACTATAATTGTAATTCGTAGTGTAAATGTGTTATTTTCAACTTAATATTAAAGTTACGAGAGGGTCTGGGCTCACGTAATGTTAAGAGGATATTTGCGAGGATTTTTCGTTTTTGTAACATTACGATGTTTCTGTCAACGGTTAAAGGCATAATAGGCCCATCGATTATGCAATTTTAACGAATGCTAGAGTAACTGGCACCTTGTGTAGTTAATAAGTACATTACCTTATAGCCAAACGCGTATTAGTTTGTCCAATATCACTGCTGGTTACTAAGAAATGTCTGAAATCCGCAGTCCACGAAATCAGTTGACTGACTTGTTTACAGTTTCGAAACCGCATACTTCGAAATTTATAGTCCACCGGACATTTTCGCAAGCATGCACGCACGCACGCATGCATTTTTGCTCGGCCGTACGCAATGCTAGCGATAGTACAGTACCGTAACTGTATACGTAACAGTAGCTCTGATTGTAATGAACGTGGAATCCACGTACGAATCACAGACGCTCGTGATAATGAAGTAGGCTGTGTTGGGGGCCAACGCTATGGGAGGATCACAGACTAACCACAGCCACAGACTAAACATGGAAAGCAGAAGGCACTACGCGTATTTACATATATTGGTCAAACGAATACACCTGTCTGAAATTGAAGACATGTGGGTACCCGTTCATTAGCACCCACGATTATTTACTTAATTGTGCCTCAATACCGAGAATACACCCAGAGATACATTCTACTAGCTCATTAGTCGTATATAAGCATCCCGGGACAAACAATTCTCTGCTAAACACCCGTAGCAACATGTGACGTTGCCTAACCGAATTCGAGGCTATTTTGCTTGGCAACCAATTTAGCGTTGGCGCCAGATTACCAGATTTATGGATTTCAATTCGACATTTCTTAGTAATTAGCAGTGATATTGGACAAACTAATACGAGTTTGACTATAAGGTAATGTACTTATTAACTACAGAAGGTGCCAGTTACTGTAGCATTCGTCAACTTTGTATAATCAATGGGCCTATTATGCCTTTAACGAGTGGAAGTTAATGTTAAGACTAATGTTAAGACTAACTTTGTTTCTGACAACGGGACCCTAGTGGACAGCAGGACCACCAACTTCAGAAAGTTGGTGGCCCTGCACAAAAAGTTGGTGGTCTGCTTATTTACTAGCAGTGAGTAATAAAATAGTATATAAAAATAACCATTGGCATTAACAGCATAAATGTAACTTAACTCGAGTTGGTCAAATAATATGTTTCAAGCTCTAGGAATGCCGGGGGAGCTTCTGGGAAAGGTTTTACTTTCGTTTTTCTCCTGCCCAGTCCACGGTACCCCCATGCATAGATCAATGCTGCCGCACAACCACAAAGTTACAAGTGCCTAGAATCTTTCAGTATATACAGTTTACATTGCTTCTAGATATCTAACTGAATCAAAATGGTCCACATTCTACGTAAAGAAAGGTGCCGAATTCAGTGATGAACTCAGCTTTGATTACGTGGGTGTCAGGTGTCACTGGTCGTGCCCTCACTCCCCACGATAACCCCTGCAACTTATGAACTTATTGTTATGCGGTCATAAAAACACTGGGCTGCGCTACATCCCGCAATCAATTTCTTAGACTGTCCCAGTTTTTGTTCGTGTGGCGAATCATGCGTTGAGGGAGTTCATGCCCTCGGCTTTAGATGTTTTGGATACCCCGTCTACGTTCAGGAACGAGGCGTATTAGAATGCGCTCCCGTTTACAAGTCAGACTAAACTGCAAGTATCCCGCTCCCCCGCCGGCACCGCACCGCCGCGGGCGGGGGGTAGGGGGAATCGGTACGGCGATAATGTATCGCGATACGTATTATTTTGAGTTTTTACCGCGATATACCGGTATACCGATAATACCGCACACCACTATTAACAAGTAACAACCAAAAGGCTTACCTGAACCTTTCCCCATGTGATGGTGGTGACATCTTCTGGCTCATCCTCAGATAAGGCTTCAATCTCCATGTCTAATGTCACATCATCAGCCGAAGCTAGCAACAAATTCAGTCACATTATAATTCCCATCTATGCACATCAATCACATTCTTACACACCTTACTCCATATGTGACAGACACATATAAATGGCTTTAAATGCATCTACACATCAACATTTTACATAGAACTGCATATGCCACACAGAGTGAGGCACCAAATACAGCTTATGCAGTGTTTCCTCTGCATTGACACGAGCGAGGCGGCTCGCTCAAATTCTCAGCCGCCACACAGAAATTTCTCCAAAACACCGCCTTGCTGACGAAAATATTACACAATCATGTGTTCAGAATAGCTTAGAATGCACCAAATTGCACCATTTTTTCAAAAATTTCCCGAGGGGACATGCCCCCGGACCCCCTAGCTGGGCGAGCATCTTCGGTGCTCCATTTGCTAGGACTTCAAAACGCGCAAACACACCAAAAAACATTTACCACCTCACAGACCTTTTTGGCCAGGGGAAACACATATGTACCACATAGATATGCCACACAGGCCGAGGAATGTATGCACACAACAGCTATGCAGATGTTCATCACAGAACTACATATAAATCCTGTGTGTCACGCCACGCGCACATGTGACCGAGTATGTCTGACACACGCTTACCCATGGAACAGTAGAACGGTAGAGCAGGAGACTTGTGGGTCTTGATGTTCATCGAGCGTACGTTCGACCAGCCGCCGGGCACGACGATACGTAACTTCTCCACGCACGCTACCACATTCTCCACAACATCCGTCACGCTCTGTCCGCAGTGCCCGACAACAAACGTGCTGCAATACACACAATGCCAGCATGAAGCCAGTAAAACTAGAGGTGAGGCGAGTTTCATATAGTAATAATTACATTGCGTCTGAGGGAATTCTCTGTGAGAGAGAATTCACTCGAGCTATATATTTCTGGTGATCAAGCTTCCTGCCCCATGATTCTATAACTCTTCTCCTTCAGCAGTATCAATCACACAGTAAACTGAAGGAGAAACACCGTAGAATTAAATAGCCATTTCCTGAATTTAAAAGTATTCACCTGCAGGAACCACTGCCTGACATGGTGCAATAGGTCTTATTGAGAGCCTTGTAGATTTCGCCCTTAAAGTTGGCCACGTCCAGATTGACTGGATGTGGCATTCTGGAGAGAGATGGTGTAAAAATGGTAAATGGTTGAATTCATATTCAGTTACGTGAATCAATGCAAATAGCTCAAAAAACAGTCTAAGATACAGTTCAATCAGAAACACCATCGTCACAAAAAGAGATAAATTCGAATAACATAACCATGGTCGCTAATGAAGATCCAGAGAAATTTCATAAGTATATCTATGAATTTGGGACAAAGGTCTGAGCAATAATCTCTAGAGATGAGACTGACACCAGACATAGCGTACTTCTTTGTGTTAAAGAACTCCTTGCCGAGATTGTGAGGTAGCTGGCTGATGAGCTTACGATCAGCGAGGAAGACATCAAATGAGTGACACAGCTTCCTCCGCGACTCAAACGTCCTAAACTCTGTCAGCAGCTGCTTAAATGGAATCACCTGGCAAAGCGATGAAGCGTCGTATTAATAAGTATATGCCTATTAATTTGTTTTATTAAAACATGAATTTTAATATTTATATATTCACAAAGATTTATATTGATTTAGCTATCTTCTTTTAATTTTATCAAACTGTTATTTATTTATTTAAAGACGGTGCCATACATCGGTAACAGAGCTCCTCACCGTCTGACAGTTATTGAAGCATTATTAGTTCTCTTACTCGCACACACCATGGCTGTGGCTTCAAACTACTTTTAAGAATAGTGTTAGAGAAAGTGTCTGCAGTGATACTATTTAAATCAACATTACACAATAGACACACTGGGGCTCATAGGGTCTATGTCCCCCAGGGTACTGCCGGAAGGCCCGGAGCGTACCCTGGTAACTATTTGAAATGGTTAGGGTTAGGTTAGGGTTAGGGTTAGGGTTAGGGAGTAGGCGTAGGCGACTCCCACTCGTTAGTGGAGTAGGCGAGGTACGGTCCGGCATATTAGATAGTACCAGGGTACGTTCCGGCAGTACCCTGGGGGACATAGACCCTCTCAGCCACACTGGGCACAACAATTATATGAACTATTACTGATTGACGTAGTATTGAATTGTAGCAAGAATCAGTATTATATATCATCCACCTCTACTCACAACGCCTTACCTCTGTCACATGCTCGACACCACCAGCCACTAGCTTGTCCTTATATTGCTGTGAAAATTCCTCATGATCGTCGTTTTTGTTACGTTCCTTGTCCGATACTATTAAACAAACACCAGTTTGATCGGTGTACAGTGGATGCGGTATTTTCCTAAAATTATGTAAAATAATTCAATTAGTTAGCAGGCACATACGGACAGTAAGGTGGAAAACTAATCAGATTCACCTCTCTACACATTAGATAGTAAGACTAAGAGTAAGATAGATGTAATTTGTAAACTTTACACTTTAGCCTTAGGCATAAACTTTTGGGCTTTATTAGCTTTCTAAATTAAAGACAGAGTATTCCCTATTATATAACCGAGACACTTGCATTTTGATGCATTTGTGTTTAATTGCTGTCGGTATCTTCTTAAGAACAAACTGCAGCTGGATCGGCGTAAACGTGTTGAGTAGCACGTTTTGTTGACCCTCCGTTGAATCGGTTGATTTACCGTTGAGAAATTTTAACAACGCTTCGACTGCTTTCTTCACCTGGAACAGTAACATAGATATTTAATGACACTGCATCTGCAGTTAAATGTAATGCAAATCCACATAAACGTACAGTACTGTACAAACCTGGCTTTCCGATAAGCCCTCGTTGCTTACTACGGCGGCTGCCATCTTATACAAAACATATACGTGAGGCGAATTGTTTTGATCGTCTTATTAAGTATTTGGTAAAACTTATAGTATTTAAATGAAAAATATACATATAAATAAATACATGGTAAATAATACATATCTTACTTAATTATTTTCTGCTGTTTTATAGACGGATATAGTAACATAACACGCGAAATCGTAAAACCGGAGGTAATAAGATGGCGCTTACCACGTAACGAAAGTGTTCACTTTAGCAACTGCAGTGTTTTGCAGATACGGCTTGCTTAATGCAGTCGCTATACGCTAAACTTCTATCATCAGCCGTAGATGAGTGCGTTCGAGACCATAAGCATTTCAGACGGACCCGAGAGTGGTGAAGTCGACAGCGACGCCAGTGGAGGCAGCATTAATATGTCTTCCGACTGGATGCAAGCTGTAAAATCGCCTGTGCCATTTCGCGTTGGCAACAGGTTGATCAGGTTACGAATTACCAACCTCGCGCGTCCGCGGGTTATCGTACCAGTGTTCATCATCCTGATCACGGTGGGCGCGCTCTTTATCCTGCTTCCAAACACGGACGCTCGATACACGCGCGGTGTCAACTCGCCTCGGCTCAAAACCTTCATCCATGAAGACGACATGTTCAGAACTGCCGAGGCGCCGGTAGCGGCGGCACTGCCGACGTCGCGGGAACCGTGCGCAGACGGCAGTCACTACAACACAACGTACCCACTATCGCGACCCGAGGTGCTGCCCGACGGCAGCATGCGTTATCGCATCGGCGTCATCTCCGATCTCGACACCGACTCGAAGAGCAAGGTGGAGAAGTTCACGTGGCTCAGTCACTTCTTGAAGGGTCACCTGACGCTGAGTGCAAACCACGATCAGATCCAGATTAAGTGGGAAGAGCGAGTCACGTTGAAGGAGACCCTGTCACAGGGCGGCCGCGGAATGGAGCTCAGCGAACTAGTCGTGTTCGACGGGAAGCTTTACACGGTGGACGATCGAACTGGAGTGGTGTACCTGATAGAGAATGATATCGCAATTCCCTGGGTAGTCCTACCAGATGGAAATGGAAAGTCGGGCAAAGGTATACATGAAGGGCAGTAATACATGCACGTATTGCAAATTATTAGCTCATCTGACATAGTCAGATGCAGCTTGTAGAATCGCATGAGCGTGCGTCCGGCCGTGCGTCCGTCCGTCCGTGGGCACAAGTGGGCACAAATCTTAACCGCTTGACGTACGGTCACGATATTCGGGACGTCGGGCGGGATTGTCAAAACGAGTTGGGATGTTGAAGCTGGGGGTCAAAGGTCAAGAGGTGTAAAAGAAGGGGGAACATTCCCTCCTTAACTTAAGGTATAGGGAGGAAATGCAGAATTGTGGCACAAATCTAAACAGTCTACCTAGGCTTGTGATAGTCGGTGATAGCATCATGGTAGGAAAAGCCATCACTGTGCCGAAATTGGAGGTCACAGGCAAAGGTCAATGGGCACAGGGCAGATTTTAACATTTTCTGATGATATGGTCTGACGGAGCAATTGAAAAACTTTTTTGTTTCAGCGGTGATCTAGCATTTTTATGGCTTTATTGAAAGGACCATGAAATGTACTTTCTGCTGACATGCGAAGAATAAGTGTCGGATAACCTTTTGACCCTCAAGAGGCGAGGTAAACATGGATAAATTTGTTTACTGTTAGAAAGAATTTGACTGCCGGGTTTGCTAGTAGAATCTATACATGCCTGGATGTATAAGGCTACAATGTCACACTAAAATTTCAAAAGCTAAATTTGGTTAAAGAAGGTTTATGCTCCTTAAATCGTATAATTTCTATGGCATTCTGTTACTGTCAGTATGTTACATGTAAGGTATGCCACTGCCAGAGGCTACTGCCATGCATGTGTTGGTGGTACGGTGTAGTTTTTGCCTGCGTTAATTGGTTACAGTGGCAGCTCTCTATTGCAGCCCGTAGGCTTGCGTAGGTAAATGGATGAGTGCTTACCTATTCTGTCTTGCAAATAGTTGTTGCTACTATGTACGATGGGAGCTTTCATCTTTAATCTGAAGACACTTAAACGTACGCGCCATCTCGTGGCAACTTTCATAACGATCCCAACGAACATTCCTTTGAGAAGGTTCCTGATACGATCCCTGTGCCTTCCACTGTTTCGGCGATTTTGTGAACACATTTGGGACTAACAGGGTTTACTAGAATCCCACCACTCCACCACAGAGTCACCGCAGTAGACGTTAGATGAGCGCTGTCGCTCCGCGGCACTTGTTTTAAACGTGAAATGGTAAAATAATATGTAGGTACCAGGAACAGTAGCCACAAGTTCCCTTCTCGCTTAACACTACCTTGTCGAGAGGGTCACAAGCCGACGCAATAGAATATTGTTCGTCATGACGTGCGCTGCTATTAAACGTAAAATGATCTAACTTTTTATGATTGTTACCGCTTCTCTGTACTTTCAAGCCTCGATTTATTATATGTGCGCTATCACTGAGCATGTATTGATGTGTCAGCGAGTAATTATTTATAAATTGATAAGATAAAACTAAAAAAAACGCCGCCATTTTCCCATAGATATCCCATCATACGTAGCGAAAAATACATTGCAAACAGTACAAAAAGATAATAAGAACATCCAGTATGGCATTTTACAACGTTCAAATAGTATAGCTGTTCGAAATTCTCTTATTTTAACGTTTATTAGGAGGTAAATAGTAATTAAGAAGTGATGCGATAGTTGCAAACATATAACAGGTGAGGTCAAATGTGGTAATACATTGTTTTATTTACGAAATTTTACGAAATTCGTAGTTTGTTTTCAAGCTACCGGGCATTTCGTATGGAAGGGTGTTAGGCTCCTATGCTGTGTAACAGCCAGAGAGCCTGGTCGGTTTACAGGAACAGATGTCATCTTCAATGCTAGTCATTTTTTATCCCCATTCAGCAGCCACTAGAACTATGAATATTAATCCTATCAATTTAAGTTTGATTCACTTAACAACAGTCCTATTTTTCACTATATATCTTTTCAGTATTCATTCATGCACTGTATGGCATCCTAGCATTAGTGCCATAGTCATAATTACGTTTCTCTTATGTATTTTATAAGGATGATGTCATTGTGTAATATGTACATAAACTATTTCTTTAATAAGACAAATGCCATAGCTTCCTTTCCATTTTTATACCAAATATACACATGCATACATCATTAGTATACACATGCTCGTGATTTCATTTATGGGTTTACGAATCATTTTAATGAATGTACGAGTCTACACACAAAGGAGTGGTTTGTGGATTTACTTAAATGGCAGTGTTTATTTTGACTATCGATATTATAATACGAACTGGGAAGTTATGGAAAAGTAATCAGGACTTTGGCATTGTCACTACTTTGGTGTACATTGCATGTAAAACTACTGCATAGATGTACAGTATGTAAAAGGAGTGGCACAGCATCTATATGGCTGCAAGGTAAATCAAACTAGGTTAATAGACCTGGGATCGGTGGACACTGTCCTTGCCAAATAATACACACACTTATATCTTTGTGAAACGATGTTACACAGATGCTATTTGATAAAACTAGGTCAAACAAAACGTTTTGAAAAATAAGAATTCTGAATGTTGCTAAAAGTTTCTTACCCGTTCTTTGGCCTGTGTGACAGTGTATAGCTTTGGTTTGCATGTTACTTATGGCTCATGTCTGTCATTTACATTCGTGTAGGATTTAAGTGCGAGTGGGCCACCGTGAAAGATAAAACCTTGTACGTGGGTGGGCTGGGAAAGGAATGGACGACAGTTGCCGGCAAGATACTGAACACCAATCCACAATGGGTGAAAGCCATTAGTCCATCAGGAGTTGTGCGGCATCTAGACTGGCATGAAAAATACAATGCCTTGAAGAAATCAGGGGGAATAAACAACACTGGTGAGTGTCTAATCAACGTCTCATGATGCTAGAAAGCATGACATTGAAACGAATAAGCACTGCACAGTTGTATTTACACAAACTATGTTATTGTAACAGGTCGGTTAACTTGGATTTCTCATGAAATAAAACAACTCCTCACTGTATCAAGAAATCCTTGACAACCCTGATTGATTGACAGACTGTTACTTAAGATTCACATGATTGTATATGAGATTGTCAGGCAGATAACTTGTGATTAGAGTGTATCTCGAGGCTTCTGTAATCTCACCCATGTCGTCAATCACGTGATCATGTGTCGCGTTGGGGACATAATCTTGACTAGCACGTGTCGCAGGGCTCCCGTGTGACCTCTCCACTGTATCGTCAATCTCATGGTCGTATGTCGCGCGGAAGACCTACAACTAGCGTGCGTTACTGTGCTCTTGTGGGTGTGTGTGTGTGATCGTTCGAGCGTCGCTGCTGCTTCAGGTTACATCATCCACGAGTCGGCGGTGTGGAGCGACGTGTGGCAGCGGTGGTTCTTCCTGCCGCGGCGCGCGAGCAATGAGCAGTACAACGACGTCGACGACGAGAACAGGGGCACCAACATGTTGTTCACGTGCGACGACAGCTTCAGGAACTGCGGTGAGATGCTGAGCATGACGCTGAAATGTTCACCACATAAGCTCTTTCAATGATGGTGAACTTAGTTTCCCTATATAAGAATAAGGGTAGAGAGAGAGAGAGAGAAAGAGAGTGAGAGACAGAGTGAGAGAGACACGCATGCACACACTCACACGCACGCACGCACGCACGCACGCACGCACGCACGCACGCACGCACACACCGGTAGAGAGACAGATGAGAGGAGATGGAAAGATGATAGTGAACTTTAGTGGTGTGTAAATACAAAATTCTGTAGTTCAAACTATTGAAAAACTGTATTGGAATCTTATAATAAATTCTTATGAATAGTGTTACATCTCAAGTCTCAAATCTTCATTTGTTTTTTTCAGAAATGAAAAAAATAGGCAAGATCATTCCAACACATGGCTTTTCGTCGTTTAAATTTATTCCCGGTACTGGGGATAAAATCATCGTTGCGATCAAGTCAGAGGAGAATGCAGATGCAGAAACGGCAGCTGCGTTCATCATGGCTTTTACTATCGATGGCAAGATACTGATGGATGAGACAAAGATTGGTGATTTTAAGTTTGAAGGTGTAGAGTTTATCTAAGTTTGAGGCAAGGCATGAGAAAGGGAGAAAGGAGAGAAGAATCCAAGAATTGATGCATAATATATTCAAGAAAATCTTGCCTCGATTGAAATGACCTTTTCAAAACAATGAAGATGGTCTTATGCTCCATTACCACATACCATTAATTTATGGCACATGAATTTGACACGTCACCACATTGGATGGTACTCGATCTGAGAAGCAGGGGCCACTTTTCACGTGACCTTACTTGTTGTTTCTAAGATAGGTTTTATACGAGGCCAATCGATATGAAAATAGAAAGAGCTATTTTTGTAAAAGTCGTATACAGAGTGAAAGATGATGGAAAGATGCATGGCTATACACACATTGCACCTATGAGAGTTATGCTGTTCCGTACCCGTTTTTGGGGTGAATCAATTGTGCTTGTGATATTCACATTTACCTAACCATGTTAAGTAGTATTGAATGTTGCTATTGGTATTAATTTATAATTTTAATTGTAAAATATCTTGTATCGATATCGTTGATCAATGTATATGCCCTGTTTGCGTGCTTGTATGTAGATGTATCCTGTTTTGTTTTGATGAAAATAAATAAGAAATCACGTTATATTGCGTGTTTCTCTGAACCACGACATGATCGTTTTTCATATAATTATACATGCAACTCCAGCCATGTTGAATGCCTTATGTAAAAGTGCTGCACGACATTTTATTTATCTTCAGCTTAATATATATGTACACTGATACTGCAGTAGATACACACCACATACATTTACAATACAAATTACATTATCAGTTATTCAACACATAGACTTAATGACAGCTATCTATAAATAAGTGACACGCCAGTGTGAGTAACAAAATGCTGCCATCGCTATGCTTGACTATGCCTCGTAATAGAAGCCAAGAGGGGTTTGTGTCATGAACAAGACACTGCTCTAAAATTGTATTAACCACAGATGCATTCAAGCAACATAATGACTGTGTTAACCTGCCAAGTATTTTGTCCCTTAACATGTTTCTGTGCCAGGTGGCTGTTGTAGTGTGTGGGGTGTATAGTAACACAAGATGGGGACAGGCCAAACATGACCTCTCAATGACAGTGCCAAATACTGAGTAATTTAAACACTGTTAGAAACTGCTGGGAGATTCATGCTTCTGTTCAGCGAAAAAAATACACGGGAGCGGCGAGCGATTTCGCTCCCGTCAGCTTTCAAAGCGCTCTGGTAACAACAATTACGAGAGCGAAAATTTTGGAAGATACGATACTGGAGCCCACCAAGTTTTTGCTCGGGCATTAACAATAAGTTTTTATATCGCAGGGGTTAATTATCGTGGGGAGTGAGGGCACGACCAGTGACACCAGACACGCGCGTAACCAAAGCTGTTAACTGAATTCGTCACTGATTTGTAGAAAGTGAACTATTTTTATTCAGTTATATATCTAGAAGCAATGTAAACTGTATATACTTAAAAAGATTCTAGGCACTTGTAACTTTGCGGATGTGCGGCAGCATTGATCTATGCATGGGGGTACCGTGGACTGGGGAGGAGAAAAACGAAAGTAAAACCTTACCCAGAAGCTCCCGGCATTCCTAGAGATTCCAGTGCAAGTCTTTTTTAACATACTCAAAGTAACTAAAAACTCTTTCTGAAGTTCTGAACTTGCTCAGTCGATGTAAAAATAAAGTTGAAAGATGAAAAGAAATAAAGTAAAAAAAATAAACTTGAAAATAACCATACCATCATTACCATGATTATAATTCTTGATTTCCTGTCTTTGTCATGACTATGTGTACTGTGTGTCTGTGTGAATGAAATTGAATAAGAATGTGATTGGTTTCTTAGTCGAGTGAAATGAGATAAAATAATGTGATC